GCAGCAATAAAGGAGAGACAGCTCCCCCCAGCATCCCAGAAGAACTGACAGCTGGGCTTTCTTCCTGCTTCCTTACCTCACCTTCTTAGAAAGAATAATACTGACCCAAGACTCCTCCTAACCCCCACTGCCCAATCCCAAGCCAAGGACAGGTGGAAATTTCAGGATGCTTGAGCTGAGAATGTTTTATGTAACATACTATGGCTAATAAAGATGGAACCTGGCCAGCATGCTTCACCAAATTTGCTGACAGATCAGTTAGTCATTTCATGGCTTCAATCCCAACGAATTGTGATATCCTATTAAGAAGGCCATACTGTACCGAGTTCCTCTTACTCTAGACATTCTCTGACTTTTGGTTTTCTCTTGCGGCTTTCTTCTAGGGAGTGAGCGCTCCAGCCAGCGCTCGTCACGATCACATTTGGTTTACAAAGCTTAAATATGTTGGTGGCTGCTTCTATGCACTAAACATGAAACTGTGTCTGTCACAGCTACACCAAAGAGCGTTTGGGTCTTTAGACATTAAAACTAAGGCTTCTTAATCCAACCCTGCCCTTATCTCTACACATTTCTACCCACTGTGCTCTATGACTATCTACCTTGAGGGAGGCTACTTTGATGCCATGCTGTGCCCCAAAGATGTACATCTGGCAGATTGTCTTCTGGGGTGGAAGGAAGGGTGGTTCTTGGATCTGAGCTTCTGGCCAAGCCTTTTAGAATCCCACATCTGCTGTCTAGTCCCTTCTCGGTACTTTCTTTCTCTTTCCATCATGGAAGTAGGCTCCCACCAATCTGCAGAGAGAGGGGCAGCGCTGGTACATGGCATGCCTTATGCTTGATTAGATGCAGAGGGACTGAGAAGGCTGTTCTCCCCACTGTTGTTCCACGTGCTTGTGTGAGCCCGTGTGCTGTTGAGGGGGAGATAGCTTAACTTCCTCAGGCCCTCTCACCTGCTGCTCTCTGCTGCTGTCCTGCGTCTTCATGGAATCCTCATCTCTGTCAACTCCCTGCTTAAGCCTGGATTCTGAAAATTCACAGCTGAACCTGAGAGCCGAGGGGCCTTTTTCTCCCCGGAGAACACTTTGGTAAGACACTGGGGCTTTCTCCGGTCAGTCAGAAGAATGGGAGGCAATAAACTGACCCTCTCTCCCTGGGGACTGTGAGTTCCCTGAGGATGGGGAGCTGGGATTCAAGCTGCCAACCTTGAGGGCCACCAGGGCCGGCTCCCCATAGCTCCTCATTAGAGACACACGTGCATCCTGGGCACAGACTATACCGGAACGAAAAGAACAGTTTGGTGTTCAGACTGGCTGCTTGGACCTGGACATGCAACTTTGTTTTTCTGGGTTTGTTTTTCCATCTGAGAAATAAGATGTAGAAAGTGAACAAAGTTCAAGTTCATGATAGCAAAGCTTTTTCTCTTTTACCTTTTTTAGGCAGGATCTCACACAGATGGTTTATGTGGTGCTGGGACTGGAACCCAGGACCTCATGAGACAAGGCAAGAGCTCTTCCAGCTGAGCCATACTCTCAGCCCTGTGTGTTTTTGTTATCGCATACATCCATGATTCTGTAATATATCCAGTATTTGATTATTTTTATCAGGTACATATTTGTGAAACCAATTCAATGTCACATGAATATCTGTTTACCAAAGTATATTCTTGAATTGGGTTCTCTGAAGGACGCAGTCATGCTGTCATACAACAGCCACACTGAAATTAAGGAAAGTTTCACAGATTCAGGGTCAGGTTAGTCTAGGTCTTCTCTGCAATATTCAAAGGGGCTCCTGGCAAAGGTGGGGCTCCCGATGAGCAAGCATTCTTCTCTCTGGTGGGTGGGACCCTAGCTTGGCCTCTGCTGCTTTGGTGAAAGTCAGCTCCTTCCACAGAAGGGAAAGCCCGTCTTCCTAACGCCTGTCCTTGAGTCCTCCCTGCCAGGCCCCACTCCTCTCACAAACCTCCTGCTGAAAACTCAGCTGCTGAGCATGAAGCAAGACAACCGGCCTGACTTCCCTTCCAGACCTCGGACATATGGCCAACTCTGCTCAGTCTCCCATGGCAAAGCTACCATGAGAGACTGTTTCCAGCTTGGGTCCTCTCAGGCCTGTCTCGCACACACAGTATACCCGGTCCCCGCCCCGTGTCCCTTATAAAGCTGATGAAATTGGACATCACAGAACTTCGCAGCAGCTTTGTTCTGTCCACTCTGATGATTTGACTTTCTTCTGAATAGCCTTTAAGCCTTCGGGATTAAGGTTCGATTTACTAATTTATACTGAGAAAATAATGACTGAAAACAGAAAGTCAGTTCTGTGTTTTAATCTCTGTAACAGTTAATCTCTGCCTGACACAGAAAACCAGAGGCTTCTAGAGGAAAAGTGAAGAAGATTTTTGCTTTTCATTGGGGGTTTTCCAAGGAAACAAGAAAGTCTGAGTTAGTAATTTCATTGTAAATACCTTTTAAAAACTATAAAATATATTTTTAAGATTTATTTTATTCTGTGTGTGGGGGGGTGTTTTGCCTACCTGTATGTATGTGTGTACCATGTTCATCCCTGATGCCCCTAGGGGCCAGAAGAAGGCATCAGATCCCCTGGAGCTAGAGTTGTAAATGACTATGTGCTACAGTGTGGTCCTTGGCAAGAGCAGCCAGTGTTAACTGCTGAGCCATCCCTCCAACCCCTATAAAGCATATCCTTCCCTTGGAGTTGGCGTGAGGGTTTTTTTTTTTTTAAAGCCTTCTTTATGGCCTTATGATCTATCTTGTATTCCTTTCTGATTAGAGTCTTCATGTGGCCAAACTATTTTTGAAAGTAATTTTGAAAAAGCTTAACGACAATGGGAATTTAGCCTCCCTCTCTGCAAAGCGTTTGAGAGACAAGGAGAGTGAAGATTCATGTCCTCAACTCTGAGGCCAGTCGTCATTAAAATCCACAGATTTCCTTCCAGTAACTGAGGAGGGTGGAGGAGGGTGGAATCCTCCTATAGGAGGATTCAAACCAGGGAACCACGAGCAGTGGGGACCAAGGGCTCCCACTGGGTCCACTCAGTTCTGCTGTGGGACCTTCTTAGGTCATGGGTTGTGATGTAGTGGAGAGGTGATGCCCAAGTTTTCGACCCTAACAAGTTCCTGTGTGCTGCTGCTGCCCTGTGGATCATATTGTGAGTGTCAAAACCCTGAGAACGGGGACCTGTGACATGGCTCAGTGGGTCAAGGCACTTGTTGCTGAACCTGAAGGTCTGAATTTGATCCCCGAGAGCTGTATGTTGAAAAGAATTCATTCCCCCCAAATTGCCCTCTGACCTCACACACACACCATAGCATCTGCACATGGCCACATACACATCTAAGTAATAAGGATAACAAGTTAATTAATCTTTTAAAATGACCTTGATGGTCATCCTGTTTTGAATAGTCATGATGGTTTTCATCGATGTGTTTGAAGAGTTAGTCTTACCTTGGGAATCATTTTGTCCATAGTGACAGTAAGTTCTGAAGGGACTCATGCATCTTCAGTGTGTGTCCTGGGAGGCCGGGACTGTATGGACGGGGTGGGAATCAAACAATGGAAATGAAAAGTCCTGGTCACCTAAGAGTCCCTCAGTCTCAATGTGTCCTGAAGGGCCCTAACGTCTGTCCTAAGATATCGGCTTGCCCTTAAGAGATCGGAATATCCTAGAGATACCAGAACAGACTTTCACAGCCAAAATCATCTCAAGAGACAGTGATTAGGACACCATCTTGTCCTGACCTTTCAGAGAGTCTAAGTGTCAGGGTTTCCTTGAAGAATCATAATGGCAGTATCTGGGAACCTGAATTTCTTTTGAGATGAGACCCAAGGTCTGGGTTGTGCACGATAAACTTGGAACTGAGATGCTCCGGAGAGCTAGGTCATCTGGATAGGTCATGATACCCTGAGGGTTCTGAATGAGGAGGTGAAAGTTGAATGAAGAAAGAAGAGAATGCTTGAGAACTCTGATGTCCAGAGACTTAGTGATAGGTGAAGCCACTCATCCATGGCTAAGTGAATCCAGGGGTGGGCTTGGCCCAGGGAGGGGCCTGCAGGTGTGAGATCCACTGCCAGGACTTTATGGAGGGTGTGTGTGGGAATCCCCTAGTGGTACTTGAAGGTCCTTGGGCTTCAGTGTGTCCCAGAAGTTCCCACTAGAGTGTCAAGGTCCTAGGGTGTCAAGGTATCCAAGAGGACCAGTGTGCACTTGTGATTTGTCCGTGATTTTTCATCCGCAGAGTTTCCTGGAAACAGGTCTTTTGAGTATCGCTCACACACTGGCCCCGTGTGTTCTTCTCTCTATTTTCCCCTCCCTACAGTGGGGTTCAGAGGAGGGGTGCCTTAGCAGGAATGTCCTTTCCCCTCTGTCCCCTGCCTGCTCCCCGGAGGGGGATTTAATATGACAAAAGAATCTGGTCCCTGGGAATATGAGCTCTTGGCCTCAGCCCCTGGACCCTCTGACAGAGCACCTTCCCTCATCCGGCTTGTGATTCTCACCTCCATCCCCCACCCCGAGCCAGGGGGCTCCTGTGACCAAGAAGTGATTGGACAGGCACATGGGGCCAGGAGGAGGTCGCTTCTCCAAGACTAAGGGAAAGAGGAAGGTAGCGTGAGAAAGTAGATGATTAAGAGAGAGCAGAGCAGCATTAGAGAGAAAAAACTGGGCAAAGTCAGAGACAGACAGAAAACTGGGCAAAGTCAAGAAAGAGAGGATGTCAATGCAGAGGAAGCATGGAGAATTAGAAAAACGGGGAAAACAGTGAATAGACAGGCATCCAGCTACACCACACACACACACACACACACACACACACACACACATACACACATACACACACACACGGCAAGGGAGAGACTTGGAAAAAGCTAGGAGGTAGAAACAGGCAGAAGAGAGGTGAAAAGACAAGACAAGGTGGACAGAAGAGAAAGACTATAGGGAGTCACTGGAAGACAGCAGGCTAGCCCATCTTTGGACTGGGGGGCTAGCCATGGAAGCTCAAAGAAGGAACCAGCAAGAAAAGCAAAGGAAGGGCCAGGCCCGCAGTCCATCCCTGCCTGAGCCGCATGTTCCCTCTGGGACTCTGATCTCCACAGCAGGTGAGCGAATTCTCCTCTTGGGCTTGGGTTTCTGAGGGGGCAGCAGACCTGGGTCTCAAAGCCTGATGGGCCTTGGGGCAATGGTTTGTCTCTCTGAAAGCTCAGAGGTGGGAAACTGAATTAGAGCTTTGGGAAAATAAAGCTTTGGGGACCTTAGGAAGTGAAACAACAGAAATCCTTTGCTTCACAGCTTAGGATGTTAGGCCCTACCTGAGGGAACAGTGGAAGGGCACCGGCTCAGTGCTAGGACAGAGACAAAGCTGAAGCCTTGAGCTTGCTCAAGGTGCTTCTCGTTGGAGAGAGGAAGCTGGAGGGATCAGGGTTTTCCTCCGGGGAGGGCAGTTCAGTACCTGCCTGAAGACACTGACTGCAGAGGGGGAACCATATCATGGCTTCCCCTGAGGATGGGTGTCTGTACTCAAGACCCCTCCTTTCCTCAGCACCTAGCTTCCCAGGTGTCTCCTCTTCCCTCCCTGCTCTCTCTTCCCCAGTGGCTCTTAGACTAATTAATATGAGGGCTTAAGGAGCTTTTGGGTTTGAGAGGCAAGCCTTTCCCACCGAGCTCAAGTTCCTGCAGGCTGGTGGCAGGGCCAGGGCAGAGGTAAGAGACACTTCGAGTTCATCACGGAGGGGAGAATGTGGATGCGTAGAAGGGAGGGGGAACACTTTATCCTCCTGAGCGGGACAGGGTGGGAGTGAGGAGGCAGAGACATGCGCGAAGGGGGTGCGTGGGAAATGAAAACTTGCTTGAATGGCAAGCAAGGAGCCTTTGGCGGACAGCAAAGCGAGGACCCTCAAGGTGTGCCCTCTTGGGTCATATGTGTGCCCAGAGGTGAAGCACATTCCTGGGGGCGGGTAGCCAGAGCAACGGTAGAAGCTGGAGGAGAAGCCGTGGTTTTGAAAGCTGAGAGAGCTCTGGTGGGAACAGGGAAGCAACATCTCAGGAGCTAAGCAGACTGTGGGGACCGGCAACAGCGGTCCAAGGATGGCTGGGTGGGTCTCCTTCCGTTTCCCTCCCTCCATAGACATGAGCCCTGAGGCTTATAAATGACTCTCTGGTACAGGGCTGGGGAGACCTAAGCTCTGCCCACAGAGGGGCCGCCCCCACTCCCGGCGCCGCCATCGCACCACCTTCAACCCCGCACAGTTGGAACAGCTGGAGTCAGCCTTTGGGAGGAACCAGTATCCTGACATCTGGGCTCGAGAGGGGCTAGCCCAAGACATTGGCCTCAGCGAAGCCAGAATCCAGGTGATGATGCCCTAAGGTATTCAGGGAAGAGACAAATACTTTCCAGCCTCTTGGGGGACTATCTGGGCATAATCATGGGGCTTTTAACCCTAACTTAAATATTCACCAGAATATAGGCTTCATTTACCAGTCATGTGACCTCCTGTACACCTGACCCCAGCTCTGAGCTCATCTAACCTGCTGGGTATCAGATGTAGGGCTGGAGATGTGGAGCTCAGGGGAGAGCCCTTGCCTAGTGTATACAAAGCCTTGGGTCTGACCTTCCAGCACCACACAAACAAAAATAAAGTCAAGACCCACTGCCAGCCTTGAATGTTGACACAAGCCCCAACAGGCAGGCAGCCCTAACTGTTCACATCTGTGTGATTTTGCCTCTGACCATTGTCTTACACTTCCCTAAGCCTCGTACTCCTGATGTCTCCAGCCTGGAGTTAGATAGCCGAACCACAAACCCTTTCTTAAACCCAGCCCACGCACAGCAGTAAAGCATTTCCCAGGCTTTATCTCTCCAGCCTCTGTCTAAGGACACTTTTCCACTCTCTGGGGAGGAGACACTGTCATGACGTCAGATACATCTATCTTGATGGAAGTTGCTATTTCCTACTCAAAGTTGTAAGAGCTGGGAGAGTTGGATGCAGGTTGGGAGTAAGGGAGAGGAGTCTGCTTCAGCAGCAGCCCTGACTCAGAAGAGCCTCTGGAAGGGATGTCCTTTCTCTGGTGATGCGGCGGGTGCTTTACTCCCTGTCCTTGGAGGAATGAGACGTCGCACCCTTTCAGGACAGGCGTGCTGATGCGGCTTCTCTTCCCTCCTCTCAGGTCTGGTTCCAGAACCGCAGAGCTAAGCAGCGGAAGCAAGAACGGTCACTGCTCCAGCCGCTAGCCCGTCTGTCTCCTGCCGCCTTCTCTGGCTTCTTGCCTGAGTCCCCTCCTTATCCCTACCCCTATCCAACCCCACCTCCCCCGGGACCCTGCTTTCCTCACCCCTACAACCACGCTCTCCCCTCCCAGCCTTCCACGGGTGCTTCCTTCACTCTTCCTCCCCAGCCTGAGGACTGGTACCCGGCCCTGCACCCAACCCCTGCTGGCCATCTGCCCTGTCCCCCACCCCCACCCGTGTTTCCCCTCAGCCTGGAGACGCCAAAGTCCTGGAACTAAGCGGTGATGAGTCACCCTCTCTCCATAACCCTCATGAAACCCAAGAGAATCGGGGACTCTCTTTTCCTTCTAAGGGTGGGGTTAGGAACGTAATGAGGGTCAGCTCAAGATTGGAAATGGACAAAGAGAGAGAGAGAGATCTTGATGAGCTGCCCACAGGGTGAGGACTATGCAGGGGTTAGCTGGTAGGAGACGCAGGCTAACAAACTCCATCCAACATGATGACATGAGGGTGCTGATGGGGCTGATGAATGATGTTGGTGAGCGATGATCAAAAGAGAACAGGACACTTTCTTCACAGAGATCCCAGCGGGAGAACCTGAGCTGGGGCTGAACCTACTCCAGGCCCTCCGGAATCACGTGACTTCCCCTTCCGTTTCAGCAGACGTTGGCCCCATTTTTATGTGTGTGTGATTTATCGCCCTCACCGTGTCCTTCCTTTCAGTCTTTCTCACCTCCAAAACACCTTTGGACATCAACGAATGCCTGATGCAGAGTGCAGGAGATGTGACTAGCTTGGGCTGCATGTGCCTTAACCTAACTTTAAAATTAGCTGCAGGCTTAAACATACTTTGCTGTGACAAAAACAAACAAACAAACAACAACCAAACAAACAAAAACCTTCCTGACCTGAGGCAAACTTGTCCCCAGACACACCATCCCAGATTCACAATTCCCAGGAACGGATTTTCTCTAAAGTGTCTTGGACTCAGGCCCTCCCCAGAGAAACACAAAGCCGAGCTGATGATTCCATTCTGTTTTGTGTTGCTTATCATATGCTTGTTGTATTTGTAACTCACTCACAGCGGGATCATGGAAGGATCTTTAGGGAAAGGTCTCCACCAGTGGCTATTCATGATGCTTGTATAGTTTCTTATAGATCAGTAATGCCTGCAGTCAAAATTCCTGGAGGACACCTCTAGATAATTATCTCATAATCCAAAGTTTGGGAAAGATTATGAAGTCAGATCCTAGATGCCCAAGATGCACAGCTGCACCTTCAGCCAGCTGCAAATCAGAATTACTCTAAGCCAGATACGGTTATTCCAAAATATTCCAAAGGTGTTCTGAGCATGTGTAGCAGTTCAGTCTTGTATTAGGTCTTAAAAATAATACGGAGACGGTGCAGGGGTGTCCAGCATTTGTTATTGTGAAATGACATATCTACAATTGTATTGGGAGGCATTCATGGCTGTCCAGGGACTCTTGAAGCCCTTGGGGCTGCAGGCTGGATATGACAAAAATGTACACCAGGGAACTGGCATAGATTATGCAAATAGCATGCAAATACTTGAACATTCTTGCGTCTGGATCTCTGAGCAAGGGTCTAGAACCAATCCCACACAGATGCTAAGAGATAGCGCCACTGGTCCTGAGTCCACCAAAAACATTAGTTTTAGCACATGCTTGGTGGGCTTTGGTAATTGGGAGTGATGTCACTTTTGCTTTTGAGTTAACTGAAATTTTACATTTTTTTTTCTTCTCTGCAGTATCTGAGTTAGGTGTGTCTGTGGGTTGACGAAGCCATCCCTCCTTGAAAAAAAACCCTGAGGCTCCTGCTTGTGTGTATGGAAACTCTTTTGACTGTTACTTGTTTCCTGCCTTTTTCAATGAGGAGAGCTAAACCCCAATTCCCTAGGCACCTATTGTATGTAAAGACTTAACTTGCTTTCTTCATATCTTCATATTGTGCCCATTTTGTAGAACTGGTAGAATTTAGAAAAGAGTCCTTTGGCTCATTTCTGTGTTCTGTTTTACAGAAGAACGCAGCTGATGAACTGTTTGCTTTTGATGGCTTCTCCAATGTTTTCTTCATCATTTGGATAACACATTATACTTTGAATCATCTGAACTTAACTTACTCTGTGCAGTGAAATAGTCCTGTGTATGCTTCACCCTCCCCCACCCCAATCAGCCACTGAGTCATTCCTGTATCATCTCTTTGATGGTGTAAATTCACCCTCAGCTTTGTAAGGTTGTATGTTTTCATGCACCCAAGTTCTTGTGGGTATAGGGACAGCTGTGGACCTCTGAGTCCTTTCTCTGCTCTGGCACCAGAGCCATGGTGATCAACAACTCAACTGTGAGAATTCTGGGTAACTTTAAAGGGCTTCTTAACCCAACACAAGATGTGTCCTGTCATTTCTTTCAGACTTCTGTGTCTCTCCACAAAGTTTGTTGTTTGGTTCTGTTTTACTTTATTGAGACAAGGACTCACTATGTGCCACAGGCTAGCCTTGAACTTGCTATGCAGCCCAGACAGGCCTTGAACTCTCACCCTCCTTCTGAGGCTCCCAAGGACAGGGGTTACAAATATGCACCCTATGTCCAACCAAGAAAGTTCTCTGCTTAAGAAAGACAGCTTAAAGGTACTTTATATGTTATACAGCTATATCTGTTCTTTGTAACTCAAATGGGGATTTTATGTATTCCTAATGTGTGTGTGTGTGTGTGTGTGTGTGTGTGTGTGTGTGTGTGTGTATGTGCCTAAATTACAAAAGCTCCTAATGAGATGTTTCTTTTAGCTGGGCATGGTGATGCACACCTTCAATCCCAGCACTCAGGAGGCAGAGGCAGGTGTATCTCTGAGTTCAAGGCTAGCCTGGTCTCCAAAGAGAGTTGCAGGACAACCAGGGCCACACAGAGAAACCCTGTCTTAAAAAGAACCAAAAACAAAACAAAACAAAACAAAAATCTTCAATCTCTCATGTCATTATAGAGCTTTAAGATATGCAAAATTTTATTTTAAAGTTAACCAATGACTGTGCATCATATGTTATAGTACACACACATAAAGAAAAATATTAAGGCCACACACAGGAAGAGCAAGCCCCAGAATCAGGAAAGAGATCCAGGACATGCAGGCAGAGGAACCCTGCCCTATGTGGGGTACATCGGTTTGTGAATTGGTCCTGAGACGTCCTAAATATGGGAACAATAAACATTGGGTAACTTAATAATCTTGCCCTTTAACAACACCAGTCGTCATAGGTAACTGTGTTTAATTTATTTATGGTCATCAAAACTATGGGTATGCACACGAAAAATAAAAAATAAAGATGAGGAACCATATATGTTGACTCCTTCCTGTCTTTTCAAAATTGACAACTCAGGGACAACTTTTGTGTGGCGTATGTCCTCCCTGTTCTTTCTGTTGCTATGGGGGGGGGGGGGCTCAGCCCTCCTTTGAAACACACAAGAGGTAGAGTTGTCTTGTTGTCTTGTTTTATTGTTTGAGCAGCACAATGCCGCTGCGGTTTGTTGTTGAATAACTTTTGATAAAAAGTAAAATGGCTCTTTCAGAAAATAAACAACATAGATTTTCTTGAACTCGGGATTAAGGTGGCAGCGATTAAAATGTTGAAGTAAATTCTGGGTCAATAAAAAAAAAAAAGACCCATTTATAGGTTAGGAGGAGTGAAACCATTATGTAAACTGAAGCAGTGATAACCTTTATAAGTTGGGAAGAGTCGTCTATTGAAGTTCCAGGGATGCTGTTTACATGTTGACATACTATTTACATGTTATTTTTGCATCACTGCTCACAGAGTTATAAAGCAGCCCGAAAGCTAAAGGCTTCAGAGACTCCATGGAATCAAAATCAAACAACCCAGAAAAGTCTAGAGGCACATTTTTGCATCAGAGCATTTTCCCCTGCATTCCTCCTGGTGCGGGGACTTTTATGTCCATGCCGTGGCTGTCCCATGGCAGGATCACTGTGCAAAGTGCTATGGGCAATTAAAACTGTAAGTCAGCAGAGGAAGAAAGATGATGTAAATTGTAATACTACATACATGACCCATTCACCAAGAGTGTAGCTTATGGTAGCTTCAGCTTCAACAACAAACAAAAATGTTAAAATGAAACCGGAACCAATTTTTCACATATGTTTAAACTTATGATGCACTTCAAGGTCATAAAAAAATAGTAAGCCAAACCCAAAATAGTAGGTCAGGGTAGAAATCAATCAGGTGATGAGTGAAAAAGCAAAACCAATGAGACAGTCATTGGGAAAAAAACAAACAAACAAAAACCAAAACAAAAACTCCAAACCCTTAGACAAACTAACCAAAGGAAATGGAAATAAGGTTCAAATTAATAAAACTGGAGATAAATAAGGGTTACTACAACACATACCAATAAAATCCATTGAATCATTAGGAAATATTTGAAAACCTATTGCAAAATTCTGGAAAATCTAGATGGGATGGGTAAATCCTTAGACACAGACAACCTACCATCTAAACAAATGGATCTGTAATGAGCAGAGACAGAGCTGCCATCGTCTCTCCGAAAAGAGGCCAGGACTCAGCATCAGAATCTGCCTGACCCCTAAGAGGGAGAAACACCAACCCCTCTGGAGGCGGTGGGCATGGAGTTTTAATTTGTATTTCCTCGATGGCTAATGATGCTGAAGACCTAAACATATTTATGAATCACTTGTATTTCTTCGGAGAATTCTGCTCTATTGGGAGCCAAGAAAAGAACCAGAAGGAGACAGGAATAAGGACTAAATAGTGGGGGGAGGGGCCAAAAAGAGCAAAGCACAATCATATCTGTGTATGAAAATGTTAAAATAAAATACTGGGTTTTTATGTCACTAAAACTTTCAAATGCAAGTTGTTTTTTTGTTTTTTGTTTTTTGTTTTTTAAAGGACTATTAAAAAACAGTCTGGGGGTTGGGAGATGGTTCAGTGGTTAAGAACACCTTGGCTTCCCTTGAAGAGGACCTGCGAGTGGTTCCCAGCACCCAGGCTGCACAGCAGCTCAAGCTGTTGGGAACACACCCTCCCCTGGCCTCCTCAGGCAGCACGCACACGCGTAGGTAAATGTACAGCTTTAAGCAGCTATTGTGAAAACAAACTCACTGCTTTGATTACGAGAGGAACGAATTTTGAAATGTGCCATAGGAATGGACAGGTAGACGTGATCCAAGAAGACTTTAGTCAGCGTGAACCCGGAGGGTGCCTGGAAACAAGGGGCCCGTCTGGAAGTAGGGA